TGATAATTATTCTTATTACTAACAGAAGCCATTTTTGTTGCTTTGTAACTAAATGTGTTCATCCTAACTTCTTGTTAACATACAAAAGTTTCAATCATGCATTGTTATGTATTTGGGAAATGTTATGGTCACACCCTCACACATACATTTGTTAGTTTAATTAGAAAATCTAAACGTATTCAAATGCTACTAACTCAAGAGTATTTCATAAGTTATGGTTGGACAAATCAAAGATCAATAAGATGACACAGTCCTAGTTTTACAGTGAAATGTTAGTGGTTTACTGTTACTTAAATGTATTCCCAAATGGTAAATGTTTCAGAGCATTCTTTTTCTGCCTTTTACATAGTAAATCTCCCACAAGGAACAGAGTATTTAGCAGTTTGCTAAATCTTAAGCGTTTGGACTTAAAGTGCACTGTTTAATTTAACATTAAATAGAATCTGCTCCCTCCCCTATCTCTACCTCCACCACCACCCCAAATATAAATAAAGCTTTTCCAAATCTTTTACAATGTGAGCCTGTCCACTCCTGGAAATGAAAAGGATGTGAGGGTTGTTTGATGAATTGCTGGCGCTTATGTGAATCCACATTTTTCAATATACTTTTTTTTTAACTGGACTTAAGCTGCCTATATTTAAATGCTTCATTTGTAAAGATGATAAAGAGAGCAAAGATTTCTATTGGCTTAACTCTAATCTGTTTGCTTTGTTGTGGTTCTTTTTTTTTTTTCTTTAACTGTTAACCTATTTATAAATCTAAATCTACATACAAAGGTCATTGGTTGGCTGAACTTAAACCATTTTACTCAGTAAATTTAATTAAGAAAATACAGTGCAACTCATAAGCAAATGAGTTTTTCCCTAGTTTTAAACCAAACCACCCTCTTGAGTGCTGATTGCCTTGCCCGACCCCTGGTGATACAGAAACAGGCAAAATTAAAAAGGACATTAAAGCTTCATTAAATCTGAAACACATTTAGTACAGTGACATATCTGCAGGCCATTTCAGAGAAGATTACATAGTCTCTTTTGTAAGTTTCCTAATTTATAATACCTTGACAATAAAAACTGGGGAAATGCAAGTAGATTAATAGACCAGTAGGGGTAAAAGATACAGAATGGCCCCCAGTCCGCCTGTCTCTGAAACGCTCAGTCATCGCCTGTGTGCTCCGTCTTCCCCATAAGGCCTCCATGTAGAACCTGTTCTCCCTGCAGTCAGATCTGCTAAGAACTCTTTTCCTTTTTTACCATCTCCTAATTGAACTGGATAAAAGGGTTGTAGCGCCTGGCTATATATTTCCTTCTATTTTGCCACAAGACAAATAGTGTGGAACCTAAACACTGCAGCTGCATTAAACCTGGAACGACAGGGACATGCAGGGGAGGCAGCTCCCCTCTGGGGCCTTGAAATGACTGCTTTTGGTGCCTCTGCCCATTTTCACTGGTGCAGAATTGGAATCCTTGGCCTGTGCTGGAGCAGCCCAGTGTGACACTCGGTGAGAGAGGAAATGGTGGTTGTGCTGCTCTGGTCAAGGACAAGGAACCATTCTCTGTCCTCCTACTCAAAAGAGGTTAGACCTGCAAGATGTCTTAGAAGTTCTCCAAGGACGGTAGTTGACAACTAGGACTGAGGTTCCGTGGGATGTCAGAAAAGTGCACACAGAGTAAAGTCAGTCCCAAGAACTAGTTCAAGCGCTGTCACCTTTTTCCAAGCAGCCTGGCGCCAAGAGGCTGCCAGCTGACCAGCCTGCACTGAATCTCCTGTGTCCTCCTGCGTGGTGGTGTCTTACAGAGTAAATGAGTGGCATCGACCATCCTTGTGACCTTGTACCGGTTGTGATAGTGGGACCCAAGCAGACGAGGACATGTTCACAGGTCGGCCATAGCCTGGCCTCTCCATAGAACAGTGATGACTTGAGAATTTGAGGCTTTGTGTTGAAATGGGGAAAAAATCACATTTTTCACCATATCCCACTCTTTTTTCTTAAGCCTTCCATTTATTATTGCTTAGTTTCTTAAACTGTAAGAACCAGTGGCCAGTCTGGCACCTACCAGCTAGTTTAGATCTTAACTGTATGTGTGGTGGGCCTGTTTCTTCTTCTAGTAAGCCATATGGGCAGAGTTCTTCCATAGACCCTAATGACAGTGTTCAACATGTACCCAGGTAAGTGGCAGAGCATCCGTAGGAAGGCTTGAGATGGAATGTTCTAAATGCTTTCCAGTATTTAGGAAGCTGTCAGTTTTTTTTTTTAAATATATCTTTATTGATTTCAGAGAGAGGAAAGGAGAGGGAGAAAGAGAGCTAGAAACATCAATGATGAGAGAGTCATTGATCGGCTGCAGCCCGCAACCCGGGCATGTGCCCTGACCGGGAATTGAACCCTGATCGCCTGGATCCTAGGTCGACGCTTAACCACTGAGCCACACCCGGCCGGGCGAGCTTTTTAAATGAGAGAACCTCCTCTTGGTAGTTTTCTAATTCCAAATGTAAGAATATGAGAAACTCATAATCCACAGACCAGTGTAATGATAGGTGGCAGCTTTTAGTGAGCGGCCACTGCCTGTGAGTTCAGTCCTGACTGACTCAAGTGCCTGGCCCGCCCGTCGCCACCACAGGAGACCCCAGTGACTCCTCTTGAATCAGTGGGCACTCTCTTTAGGCAGAAACACCATACTTACAAAATACAGCAAATCAGTGGCCTCTGTTAGGTGGGGGGGAGTGGGAACAGCGGAGAGCGGAGTCCCTCCCCTTCCTAAGTAATAGCCGTGTACAGACAACAGACATAATCACACAGAACCGAAACGGAGCTTAGTTAACATTCACTTTCTCTTCCCTGAATCTTGTGCTGTTTTTGTTATTTATACTTGAAGGGATTAATGATAGCCACTAAATGAAATAATATAACTCTATATCTTGAAAGTCAACGAACTCTGAATATCCAAGAAATGAGTACAAGGTATTAAAACTTATCAGGTGTTCCATAAATATATATACATCCAAGTGAGTCTTGGCCCTTTCAGAGCAGTCACCCGACATGGTTCTATGGTTTATTCTTATTACATTGTTGTTGCTCAAACTGGTTTTAGAACTTTGAAAATTAATCTCAGCACTTTCGTGTCTGTCCTTAGTAAAGAACAAAATATTTATTCTTTGAAAGTGGAGTTGGGTGCACCCCTATGTTCATTGCAGTGTTATTTACAATAACCAAGACTTGGAAGCAGCCCAAGTGCCCATCAGTAGATGAGCGGGTAAAAAAAAAAGCTGTGGGGCATTTACACAATGGAATACTACTCGGCTGTTAAAAATGAAGGAACTCTTACTTTTGGCAAGGAGCATTGATGGACCTGGAGAGTATCATGCTAAATGAAATAATCCAGTCAGAGAAAGACAAGAACCATATGATTTCATGTATATGTGGAATCTAATGAACAAAATAAACTAACAGACAAAATAGAAACAGACTTATAGGTACAGAGAACAGACTGATAGCTGCCAGAGGGCTGGGGTGTGGGGGGTTGGAGTTGGGGAGCTGGGTGGAAATGGTGAAGGAATTAAGCGAAGAAAAAAACCTCAGACAGACAACAGTATGGTGATTACCAGAGGGGAAGGGGGGGGAGGGCAAAGGGGGGGTGAATGGTGACGGAAGGAGACTTGACTCGGGGTGGTGAACACAATACAATAATATACTTGTTCCTAGCCCACAGCTATAGAGTTTTAATTACAAGTGTACAGATAAGAAGGGTTGTAGGAAATGGGAAAGTAAACATGAAATGGAAAATCTTGCCATTATTTCCATCTACTTGTCAGTTTTTTCATCCATGTTCTATCGGTAGTTAGAAGAAAAGAGCTACTACTAGTGGGAAAATGGCCATTTTGAGACTGTGAAGTCAGAACTATAGGTCTAAGTGTAAAATTGTAAAAGTGAATCCTTAGAACTTCCACAGTTCTGCTTGATTTGTAAACTGCTGTGTGTTTCTAGACCAGTCACTTTGTTTTGGTCTTTGGATCCTCACCTGTAAAAACAAAATGATTGGGCAAATAATAGGATTGATATAAAGTAAGAGATCAAATTTACTAAACATACCATAACTTACTTTATTTTTTTTGTTGTTAATTATTATTATTTTTTTAAATATACCTTTATTGATTTCAGAGAGAGGAAAGGAGAGGGAGAGAGAGAAATAGAAACATTAATGATGAGAGAGTCATTGATCGAGCCCACAACCCGGGCATGTGTCCTGACCAGGAATCAAACCCCGATCGCCTGGATCCTAGGTTGACGCTTAACTGCTGAGCCACGCCCAGCCGGGCCATAACTTCCTTTAAAAAAATAGTAGTAACGTTTTGCAACTGCATAATGTGCCCCATCCTCAGGCCTAAAATCCTTTATTTGTATTTGTCTAGAATAAATTGTCACACACATGTATAAATGAATAATGCCCTTATAGCTGAGAATATTCCTAAGAGAAGCCACATAGGGGTAATTTGTATAGCATTAAATATGCTCATTAAAAATAAACACTTTGCTAACTTAATAAGATATTACTTTGTATCCTGTTTTTATTTACATACTGATTATTTAAGTTTATTTTTGTTGTTGATACTATTACAGATATCCCCATTTTCCCCTCCTTTGCCCACATCTACCCAGCCCCCGGCCCCTTCCACCNTTTCCCTCTGGCCATCACCACACTGTTGTCTGTCTGTGGGTTATGCATATATGTCCTTTGGCTAATCCTTTCACCTTTCATCCAGTAATGATAATGTTTAGTGTTAAAATTTGAATATTTTATTAGGGATGTAACATTGTCCATTGAAAATGTCCATTCTAAATATAACTCTTAATGTAATTACAGTAATGGTTTAGTTCATGCATTTGAGGTGGTGAGCTTTTTATATTTGCTGGATGCAATTCTGAAATTTAGTACTTGTCTGTCTTAAGGAGATCTGCCCTGCATGCAAATCTATAACTAGACAAATATTATTTCCTTTCCCAGCTTGCTCTTGGGAGGTTTCCATATCCTCAGGTAAGATTGTTCATTACTGCCGTTTGCTACTGTGACATTCATTCCTATGTATGAAGGTGCAGGGAGCAATTGTGAACATTTGAGCCACATACAAATAAATCTGTCCTGTTAAATTGAAAAGTGATATCTTAAAGGAGTCATTTAGAAGTCTCTATTGATTTTTGATTTTTTTAAACTCCAGATTTTTCCCCTCTTTGTTAAAGGTTGAAAGCCATCACCACGCTCTTCCTTTGTGTGACATTGGTGATGTTTTTCCCTTATCCTAACCCAGTACCGTGTACTCAGATCGAGGTTGGGGAGAGGCACAGCCTTTTCTTGATACACTGTTTGAGCTCTTGGATTCATTAAAATTATTTGAATTAAAGGATTGAGATGAAGGGTAAAATATATAAATAGGTCATTATTTTTTATAAGCAAATAGATGGGCCCCCAATTTTATGTGGGTGTGATTTTTGAACATATTCTTTTTAAAAAGTATGTCCCTTTCTATCCACATTTCTAAGGAAGCAGACAATCCATTATATTACCATTGCTGGTGATAACCTTTGTAATTTCTTTAAGATTTTTATTATAGATGAGTGCTAGCACTTAAAATATAAAGCTGTTTTGTGGTTTGAAAATGATTCCCCAGTGTGTGTGGAGAAATAAGTGAAATGTCCAGAGGGATGAAAAATGAATGGTTTGACTGTTTTCCTCTGGTTGATGCTCACTGTTTTCCTGGCATCTTGGTCTGTACAGACCAAAGTGCCTGGAGGCATGTCTGATTTAAAGGTGGTGTTGGTCTCTGCTCTTTAAGCATCTATTAACTTGCTATTATTATGCAAATAAGTGTTGTATTACACATACTAATTTATGCATGGTTAGATTATGCAGATGCATCACAAACATGGTTATTGAATAATAGGATGGGATTCATTCTCTCTACCATCTTTTTAAGCGGGTTTTAAGCAAATTCTCCTGGCACCCATGTGGACATTTAAAGACCCTTCACTCACTGAAATGCCTGTTTTGTATTCTTTTTCTTTTATAGTTAAAGCCATCAGATAAGTAGAAGAGAAATTGCCCAGGTTGTTAGGTTCAAGAGTGTTAGTCTCACCAAATTTGCAGGCTTCTTTGTTTAAACATAATCTTTTCTTTAAAGACAAAGTCTAAAATGTAGTGATTGCTTGGCATGCCTGCTAGCGTTTAGTGAGATTTTAGTGTATACAGCTTGGCTGCTTAGCTCTAGGTAACCCATCAAATTAAAATCACATTTTCAGGATTTATAGCTCATTAGAATATTTGTCTCAGTAAGCCTTTTATTCTGTTGGTAATTTTTAAACAATTCACTGTTTGACCAATTTGCGAAATCCCCTAAAATTTCATAAATCAGGACAAGAGGTCATGTGCACTATATCTCTCAAATAAGTCATAGTAGAAATCTTTAAGTAATCTAATAAAAATGCCAAAGATGGAGAATATAGCTTTATTCTTGAGATTCCTAATATCTAGGGTAATTAATCGGTGAGACTGGGTAAGTGATAAGTCTAAGAAATGGATTGCCATTACGTGTGACAAATGAAGCATTTGAAGACTGGTCAGATTTGGGACAAGGCTGTATACCTTTGCAATACTGTTTTCCTGAATGTCTGAGTAAGTATATATTTACTTGATCAGTCAAATGAAGTTGGACAATTCTAATGTGCTGAACTCCTTAGTTAGCAATAACCTTTGGGGGGGGGGGGCTATGCTCCTTGAATCACGATAGAATATTGTCACCAAATTGGGACTTTTACTTCAAATAATAGAAGCAGCTTTGATGCCATCAGGCCTATTTGCCAGATTTTTCAACAGAAGTTTGTGTGCTTCATTGCTAGAATCAATAATGACTTTTGACAGAGTTGGCATTTATTTTACAGGCTTTGTACTATAGACTAAAGATTGGGACAGAGTACTTTATAAATTCCTTTCATGCCCCCTCTCTTTTACCCTCAAGTAAAGCACTTGAAGAAAAATGTTTATTTTTATAGTATTGCAGAGACTGTATTATGAAATAATACCTTCTCTGTGGCCCATATTACCTCATTTGAACCCCAACCACTCTGCGAGATAGCCTCCCCTCATAAATTGGGCAAGCAGAATGGCCGACTTCTCACTATTGAACTGCAGGTGGTTTGGTGCCATTGAATCCCAAGTGGAGTCATCCAGAATGAATAGTAGACTCTCAGGATGGGAAGGAATCTCAAACGTCAGTGAATCAAACATCTCTACAATATCTGAAAAGCAAACATCCACACTATGCTTGAACACCCCAAGTGATAGGAAGCCCACTACTTTCCAAAGCAGCCATAGAGTCAGAGTAGTGTTCTATTTTCCGAGCTGGGGACGGCCTCATCCCATTCATCGCCCTTTCCATCTGATTAAAGGAAGTATGCAGATCAAATGAGATGGATATAAAACCACTCAGAAAAGTACAAGGGGCCACCCCACTGACCTTGATGTTGGGCCGTAGCACAAAACAATTTCTAATCATCAACCAGAAGATTGCAAGAGGATGTGCTCAGCAACCTGCCAGCCACAACTGGAGCCCAGTGTCAAATGAGCAGAGGTGGAAGAGGGGAGGAGAGACTAGCTTCAAGACTCTTCCTTCCCCCGGCCCAGCGTCAGTGCTGCTGACAGCATCGTTAGCAGTGCCTCTTCCTACTGGTGACACAGTGTTTACCCAGTGGGGATCCAGCTGAGGGAGGGGTGTTGGGAAGATATCAAGGAGAGTCAGTGGCCTGGGACCAACATAAAGGTTAAAGGATGCATTTTTGTTGAAATAATCATTCTATATTAATTTCATCGTTTTGTGGGTTGGGTTTTTATTTGGTATTTTAAAATATTATCCATTTTAGCTTCCTTTAGGCCTTAAAGTTGCACTCAATTTAGGACTCTAGAGAATAAAAAGGGTGAAGAGCCACTAAAAATGCAGTCTTATTACTGTAGCTCATACTAAGGAGAATGTCTTGGATTCACCTAGCACCTTCCCCACGTTGAGGTCCAGAGCACTTTCTGTTATCTGACTCTGGCTGTGCATCCGCCCTGCAGGGACCATTATTCCCAGACTCCAGGAGAGCAGGCTGAGGCTCAGACATGCAGCCTCAGTGATAAACAGACACAGTTAAGTCTAGGATTTGCAGGCAACTAAACCAAATGACTGGCTCTGTGTACTCTGAACTTGGTTGGCTTTGCATACCACTGCTCTTCCCCCTCTCCCCTACCAAGCCTTTCACTTCTCTTGGTTTGCCTTCTCTGCCCCAGGGAGGCCTCTTGTGTAGATGAGAAATGCTGAACATTGGAGGGTTGTGCCATTGCAGATGATGACAAGACCACTCCCTAGAGCTCTTTTGCTTTTCTGACCATGTGTTTAGCAGAGTGACAGAGGATCAAGGGCCCCAGAGCTCTAACTGACCCCGGTGCCATTAAATTCTGGGTGCCTGTGAAGTATATTCTGCAATAGGACAATGAAAAATTGTGTTTTAAACATCTTGCAAACAAATAGTATTTCAATTTCTTGAACAATTTAGCTTTAATCTGGTAAGATGTGCAGGTCTGGACAAGGACTGGAGCTGTGTATAGTTAATCATGTAGATCCAAATTCAGTTGACTTAAAAAACATGATGGTGGGCAATGGTTTGTTTAATGACACCACAATTTAAGAGAAATGAAAAAGATTGCATGCTAAAAATCATCATCCTTCATTCAAACTTTATAGTAGTTCCCTGCATTAGGATGATAGTAAATCCATTAAGGAGACTTCTCAGGGGATGAGCCTGCTCTGGCACTGGGAAATTTGGTAAGCAAGATGCCACAGGAAAGTGAAGATAACACAGTTACAAATGTATTTAAAGTACTTTTGCATGTATAAAAATGTTGTTCTTCTTTTGGCTATATTTCCTGATCTTGGTTAATAAATTACAGAAAAATGACCTGAAGTTAAAAAAAAGGGGGGGTGGAAATCTGAGCAAATAGTGCCCCTGGTATTGTAAAGCTTTGAATGTTTTCACACCCCATTAATTTATTACTTCTCTTTCTTCATCTTTAAATTTCTTTTCTTTTTTTTCTTTTTTCAAAAATTCCGACTCCCCGCTGCTGCAGTGATTTTCATCTTGTTGTTAATTTTCCCTGCTCCATATGGAGCTCCAGACATTTCACCTGGAGGCTGTACTAGATTTTGCTGTAGTGATCGTACTTCCGGAGGCCAAACTGTCATTTAGGGTTCCTGGTGCATCTGTCTGCGCCAGGCTTTTCACTGGCATGGGAGAGTGTGAATAACAAATTGGATGCACCTGAGATTCAGATGATTAGTGTGTTTTGTGAATCTCCACGACTTGTAAGCAGATAGCTCTGGGGGGTGGGGGGGTGATGGGAGGGCTAAGCAGCAACTGTGGGTGAATCTGTACTCACACCTTGCATTTGGGGCTTTGCAAGGGAAGTGCAAACATCCTAGGCAGCCTGAGTGCAGAGAGAGTAACAAATATTTCATCCTGCCTTGTCATTGATTAGAAAAGAGCCTTTAATTTCATTTCACCCCATGTTGTGATTAATTTGCATTCTTTGTCAGAAGTTAATGGAGTTTTTTATGGTTCACTCTGAAATCCTTGAAGACATCAGACTTGATCTGATGTTTATACAACCGCCAGCGGAATTTTTTCGTTTGATTGATGGCAAGCTTGATGTTATTCCAAACGGCTTTTTAAGCTGTTTTTAAGAATTATTTGAATAAAATGCAAGCAAGATATTGTTGTAAGATCAAGATTATCTGTTAAAAATCTGTTTCAAATAAAGAAGATGATAAGTAGTAGAAAGGATGAAAAACATAAGAGAGTGAATAGTGATATTATTTGTTAAAAATACGTAAGGATGGCATTCAAATAAATTATTGCAATACATAGAGATCACTTTTATTGAAAAAGTATACCATCATCTCGGCAAGTAGAATAATTAAGGCTAAGGTAAAAGGTACATCTGGATCTTTA